CCATTCTAAACTACCCTGTACATTAGCTAGGACCTTATGGGACTGAAAGAATTAACGTTAGTATGCAATCCTTTATCAGAAGTCTAATATTGATAAATTACTAGATTTAACTGCCCGGCTTCGCCTGGGATAGTGAAAGAAAGTCTCACTCTCCCCTCCTCTACCTCATCTTGATCTCCACCTATATGTAGGCCATGTGGAAATTGAAAAGGGGGCGGGGTGGCTAACTAAAACAATATATTTAATATCCTGTCTTATACTTTATCTTTGTCTCCACCGCTGCCATATCTTTAGTCGTTGCCCTTAAGTGCACCCGAGGCATCCCCTGTAATACTAACACCACTATTTAACAATTCAGGAGACAGACAAATGTACTGTCTCAGACACATATAGATATGTGGGTTCTAGGAAAATAACAGTGAAATATAATTTTTTTTTAAAATTTCCTTTTCAAGGAAAGTAACAGGAAAAAAATATAATCACATGGATATAACTTCAGCAAAAGTTTACTTTTGCTGACTATCACAATAAATAAAGAAATGCACAATAACTTGGACCGCCAATGTGACTGTTAAATTAAACATGGTATTCATTATGGCAAATGAAAATTAAAACTGTGTATGGGTCATGATTTGGGTGGAGTTAACACTTCATTTATAATAAACACACACAATACAGAAAGGGTTAGTGATTTATAGCATATATAATAAGTTCTTCACTATGATAATTAACAAGTATGGGGTCATTATAAACCTTCAAGAAAAAAAGAGGTCTGCAGGTCTTAGCTAGATGGAAACCAATGCACTACAGAATATATACCAGCACCAAAGCTTGTGAGATGAGGTGCCTGGGCAAAGCCAGCAGTTTAATCATCTCAGACCAAATAAGATTAGGTACACTGAAACATACTGGGAACAAAACTTTATGCCAGGGGTTCCCAAACTTTTCTTAGTCACAGCGCTTTGTTTTTTTCAATTAAAATTTTTCCACGGCGCCCTAATTTAAATAAAAGTATGACTATTCGTATGTAAGAGATCAAAGCAAATAAAACTCATGTATCTTCTAATATTTCACGGCGCTCGTGTGATGAGGTCACGCTTCCCGGGGAGCCGCAGCGCACAGTTTGGGAATCACTGCTTTATGCCAAATAGAAAATCAGAACGGGTGATTCTTCTTCTTCTTTAGTTTCTCCAGTTACTTCCCCAAAGTGTCTGGGAAAGATGTAAGGATAGTACGTGTGTGATTGCCAATGTGTTGTATAGATAGTCTTCATACTTAAAGGCTGTTCTTGATGCCATCGTTCCGCATTCTAAATACCTATAAATCTTTAAGGAACAAATCAGAGAATTTATATGAGTTGAGTGGAGAACCAGCATCACAGCACTCAGGATTTTCCCATAAGTGTTCCTTCCCCAACTTCAGCAGCTAGCGAAGTGTTCTAATTCCCCTGGCACCAGTAGCAGTTTGATTGTATGTATGTCTCCCTTAAGTGGGTTCCTGGGCGTCCTTGGGGGAGGGGGATGGACTTTCTGCCCCTTAACGTGAATGTCATAAAAGGTGACTAATTAAGGACTTACTTAATTCGGTTGTGTTGGGCCAAAAGGTGCAGATATCACAGCCTAGCTGTAAACCTCAACACAAAATGCCAACCACCAGTTTAGGGTCAATAAAAAATAAAAGTATTATAGCTTGCCTTTTCTCTATTCTTTATGTAAGGAAACTAATAAAGAATACTGGATCATCAAGAAACAATCCAAAGTTACAGGACATAACCAGATGATGCTAACATCAAGTTATATATACATCTGTAACATCCACTTACCTACACAAACAACAACTGTAGCAGAGCCAACAAAATCATACCTGGTACTGACATGTCTGCACACTTAAACACAACTTCCTCAATCACTTCTGAAGTAAAATTGCCATCAAGAAGCACCAAAGGAGCAGCTTTGATCATCACATCTAAATCTGAAATCTTCAGAGCACAAAAATAAGTCATGAAAAATAAAAAATTTAAATCTTACTCAGAATAAAAAACGAATTAAACCGATCTTTAAAAAAAAAAGCTTATAAAAATACCTTTGTGCAATAAAATGTGCCCCAGGCCATATCAGAAGAAGTATAAAAAGTTATTCTAGAAATTAAACAATTTAAAAACAGAAAACAGCTAACAGTATTAAGAGACAAATATTAAAAAAAAATGGTTATTTTCTGGCTGTATACAACTACATGCAGTACCAGAACTTTTTTTTTTAAGCATGCTATTTTTCTTCCCATTGTCTCTATAATAGACACTTTGTGGTGAGCACCGGAACTTTTTTGCCTAAAAAAAAAGCATTGATAACAGCTCTCAATTCTTCTTTTTCATCTTCTTTTGTTCGCTTGAAACAGATTATCTATATCTGCAATGTTGCACTCAGTGACCCATAAAGTTTGGCTTGCACTGGTGTTTCTCTTGGCCAAAAGGTTTTGCCTTGATATGTTGTATTTGGGACAGTCTTGGAGGACGTGATCTGTTCTCTCAGATGCCAGTCCACATGTACACATGGCTGATTAATTAGGTAATTCTAACTAAAACTCTCAGTTCAGCAATGAAATCTTTTCATTCCAGTAGCGCAACTGATATGTGGTGCAACACTAACATTATTTAATAAACAAATCACTACTCAATGGGTGATAGATAGAATCAACATAATGCTGGCTGTCTTTACATCCCAGGACATTTTCAAGTACCCATTCCAGATTGAGTCGACCAAGGTAATTTTATGAAAATTCGTCCCTGTGTGGATTTGAACCCAAGATCTTTGTCCAGTAGGGAAGATACTACAGCACACCTCTCAATTACTACATCTCACACTGTAATTTTAGGAGAACAAAGTATACACCCCTCCCCCAAGCATGTCATAGAAGGTGATTAATTAGGGGTGTTGCCTCACACTGTGAAAGTAGTAGGTTTGTTTCAAGGCGGCGGCGTTCAGTTGAAGAGTGCAATTTTTATGCAATCTTTGGGGACTGTCACCGGAGCCGAGCTACAGAGTATAAAAATCCAGCATAATGAAGTTAATCATGTTACCTTTAACCATTTGTGCAATGCGGCTTGATCATCTTTACCTGGATTGTGAATGAAATAAAATGCTATAACAGGTAAAAAGAGAAGAATGAGCCAAAAAGAGTACTTTAAAAAAAAATTCTGACCTTATTTATTGTAAAGCATGAGTTGATGTCCATATTTCCAACCCCAAACAGCAGTTGACCGTTAGCCAGCAAGACTGGACAGTAAGTAGCTGTAGACATGTTGTGTAGTGCTTGCACTGACTGCATATCCTAAAAGAGTGGAAAAACACATTTTAAACATTTTCAGTTCTTTAGAGACATTTCTTTATACACAATTAAAAAGACAAAGAAGAGGGAAATATACTGGGCACATCACGAGGAGAAGCAAACGGAGAATCACCAAACAGGCACTGAAACTGGAGAAAAAAAAATCCGTGAAAACAGGGATTACTGCAGTCAAGCTAAAACCACTATTAGTGAATACGTAAGTAACTCATGGTGAGCCATGGTAGGGCGGCGGTTAGAGACTCACCTGCTGGCCCAAAGGTCTTGGATTCAAATCTCCAAGTCAGATTTTTTTTTCATAACTGACCTTGGCTCTCAGGTCCGCCCAGCCTAAAATGGGTACCAAATACTCTGAGAAGTGAAGGCGGCCAGGTTGATTTTGACTAGATAGTTCACAGACTGTTGAATAGTCTATAAAAATGGAGGCTAGCATCATATGCCTGCACGCCATTAGAGTAAAAAGGGTCCTACAATTTGTTTATTGCTTTCACAACTTGTGTTCTGAGATAAAAATACTTACAATGTGCTTGCAGTGTTCTGAGATAAAAATACTTACAATATGCTTGCAGTGTTCTGAGATAAAAATACTTACAATGTGCTTACAGTGTCCTGAGATAAAAATACTTACAATGTGCTTGCAGTGTTCTGAGATAAAAATACTTCCAATGTGCTTGCAGTGTCCTGAGATAAAAATACTTCCAATGTGCTTGCAGTGTCCTGAGATAAAAATACTTACAATGTGCTTGCAGTGTTCTGAGATAAAAATACTTACAATGTGCTTGCAGTGTTCTGAGATAAAAATACTTACAATGTGCTTGCAGTGTTCTGAGATAAAAATACTTACAATGTGCTTGCAGTGTCCTGAGATAAAAATACTTACAATGTGCTTGCAGTGTTCTGAGATAAAAATACTTACAATGTGCTTGCAGTGTTCTTAGGTAAAAATACTTACAATGTGCTTGCAGTGTTCTGGGATAAAAATACTTACAATTTGCTTGCAGTGTTCTGAGATAAAAATACTTACAATGTGCTTGCAGTGTTCTGAGATAAAAAATACTTACAATGTGCTTACAGTGTTCTGAGATAAAAATACTTACAATGTGCTTGCAGTGTTCTGAGATAAAAATACTTACAATGTGCTTGCAGTGTTCTGGGATAAAAATACTTACAATGTGCTTGCAGTGTTCTGAGATAAAAATACTTACAATGTGCTTGCAGTGTTCTGAGATAAAAATACTTACATTGTGCTTACAGTGTTCTGAGATAAAAATACTTAAAATGTGCTTGCAGTGTTCTGAGATAAAAATACTTACAATGTGCTTGCAGTGTCCTGAGATAAAAATACTCACAATGTGCTTGCAGTGTTCTGGGATAAAAATACTTACAATGTGCTTACAGTGTTCTGAGATAAAAATACTTACAATGTGCTTGCAGTGTTCTGAGATAAAAATACTCACAATGTGCTTGCAGTGTTCTGAGATAAAAATACTTACCATGTGCTTGCAGTGTTCTGAGATAAAAATACTCACAATGTGCTTGCAGAGTTCTGAGATAAAAATACTTCCAATGTGCTTGCAGTGTCCTGAGATAAAAATACTTACAATGTGCTTGCAGTGTTCTGAGATAAAAATACTTACAATGTGCTTGCAGTGTTCTGAGATAAAAATACTTACAATGTGCTTGCAGTGTTCTGAGATAAAAATACTTACAATGTGCTTGCAGTGTTCTGAGATAAAAATACTTACAATGTGCTTGCAGTGTCCTGAGATAAAAATACTTACAATGTGCTTGCAGTGTTCTGAGATAAAAATACTTACAATGTGCTTGCAGTGTTCTGAGATAAAAATACTTACAATGTGCTTGCAGAGTTCTGAGATAAAAATACTTACAATGTGCTTGCAGTGTCCTGAGATAAAAATACTTACAATGTGCTTGCAGTGTTCTGAGATAAAAATACTTACAATGTGCTTGCAGTGTTCTGAGATAAAAATACTTACAATGTGCTTGCAGTGTTCTGAGATAAAAATACTTACAATGTGCTTGCAGTGTCCTGAGATAAAAATACTCACAATGTGCTTGCAGTGTTCTGGGATAAAAATACTTACAATGTGCTTACAGTGTTCTGAGATAAAAATACTTACAATGTGCTTGCAGTGTTCTGAGATAAAAATACTCACAATGTGCTTGCAGTGTTCTGAGATAAAAATACTTACCATGTGCTTGCAGTGTTCTGAGATAAAAATACTCACAATGTGCTTGCAGAGTTCTGAGATAAAAATACTTCCAATGTGCTTGCAGTGTCCTGAGATAAAAATACTTACAATGTGCTTGCAGTGTTCTGAGATAAAAATACTTACAATGTGCTTGCAGTGTTCTGAGATAAAAATACTTACAATGTGCTTGCAGTGTTCTGAGATAAAAATACTTACAATGTGCTTGCAGTGTTCTGAGATAAAAATACTTACAATGTGCTTGCAGTGTCCTGAGATAAAAATACTTACAATGTGCTTGCAGTGTTCTGAGATAAAAATACTTACAATGTGCTTGCAGTGTTCTGGGATAAAAATACTTACAATGTGCTTGCAGTGTTCTGAGATAAAAATACTTACAATGTGCTTGCAGTGTTCTGAGATAAAAATACTTACAATGTGCTTGCAGTGTTCTGGGATAAAAATACTTACAATGTGCTTGCAGTGTTCTGAGATAAAAATACTTACAATGTGCTTGCAGTGTTCTGAGATAAAAATACTTACAATGTGCTTGCAGTGTTCTGAGATAAAAATACTTACAATGTGCTTGCAGTGTTCTGAGATAAAAATACTTACAATGTGCTTGCAGTGTTCTGAGATAAAAAATACCTACAATGTGCTTGCAGTGTTCTAGGATAAAAATACTTAAAATGTGCTTGCAGTGTCCTGAGATAAAAATACATACAATGTGCTTGCAGTGTCCTGAGATAAAAATACTTACAATGTGCTTGCAGTGTTCTGAGATAAAAAAAAAATACTTACAATGTGCTTGCAGTGTTCTGAGATAAAAAAAAATACTTACAATGTGCTTGCAGTGTTCTGAGATAAAAATACTTACAATGTGCTTGCAGTGTTCTGGGATAAAAATACTTACAATGTGCTTGCAGTGTTCTGAGATAAAAATACTTACAATGTGCTTGCAGTGTTCTGAGATAAAAATACTTACAATGTGCTTGCAGTGTTCTGAGATAAAAATACTTACAATGTGCTTGCAGTGTTCTGAGATAAAAAATACCTACAATGTGCTTGCAGTGTTCTAGGATAAAAATACTTAAAATGTGCTTGCAGTGTCCTGAGATAAAAATACTTACAATGTGCTTGCAGTGTTCTGAGATAAAAAAAAAATACTTACAATGTGCTTGCAGTGTTCTGAGATAAAAAAAAAATACTTACAATGTGCTTGCAGTGTTCTGAGATAAAAATACTTACAATGTGCTTGCAGTGTTCTGAGATAAAAATACTTACAATGTGCTTGCAGTGTTCTGAGATAAAAATACTTACAATGTGCTTGCAGTGTTCTGAGATAAAAATACTTACAATGTGCTTGCAGTGTTCTGAGATAAAAAATACTTACAATGTGCTTGCAGTGTTCTGAGATAAAAAAAATATACTTACAATGTGCTTGCAGTGTTCTGAGATAAACAAAATACTTACAATGTGCTTGCAGTGTTGTGAGAGTGAATGAGACAGATTGTCCATTCCAACAGCTGATACAAACACAGGATTGCACTCTAGCCTACTCAGACAGTCTGCCAAATTTCTTCCCACACCACCACATGACTGAGACACTGCACCCCTGTATGTAGCTCCATTGAACTGCAATCAAGAAAATCTCACTCAAATCTTATATGACATTTATTTACTAATTTTATTAAACAGTATATTTACCTTTACTTCCTCTTTTATCACTTTCAGTCAATAGGCATTATAGGTGGGTTTACAGGTTCCAAAAGCATGTCGTAAGAGTCAACTAAATGGAAATTTCCTTAGAAGTCGGAGCGCATCTGTCTGAGAGGCAAGGAACCAACAGTCTGCACATACATGAGTCAGATCTGTCAAATGGATGCACACACTTGTGGCAAGTTTTTGCTTCTGACATTAGCTGGTCTTGCATTTTCCTTCATATGTAGACTGAATGGATTTAGTTTCGTCATCCAGCAACTGAGTTGAGTAACACTGTAACATGTGGATTTCATCTGGTATGCTTTTTAGCTGTGCCAACGTGGTTTGTGTTGTAAACTGTAGACTCAAAATATTGCAAGTGGCCTGTTGCTACACAACCGGTGGTGCCTTGTGTTACTAAGTGCGTGTGCAACTACTAATCTATTGTAACTGCTGCTTCCAATGAGTTGACACAGGAACTATGGGTGATCTGTTTGCTTTGATTAACCTTTTACCGCTCCAAGTGACGAGGGAGATGTAACAGCCTGGATGGTTTGGTAAAATGACATCATCAGAAGAAGAATACAGACCTGATAGAAGACTGGTAAAGTGTGTAAAGGTGAGCCATGATTGTCCAAACATCGTACAGCATACACTAGTGATGATGACAAAAATATATTACAATAACAAAAGGCATACCTTCTTTTTAACTGACAGCAAAAAATGTAACCTTGTTCAACTTTAAACTTATTGCCTTGAGAAGTTCCCAGGACTTTACCTGGTACTCATCTGAGGCTGGTCGACCTGGGAGCCAAGTTCATTTTTTTTAAATGTCTCGTCCATCAAGACCTGAACCCATGACTTTTGGGTTCGCAGACTTCACCACAGTGGCTCCCTCTTCCTTAAAAAAGTTGTAGTTAGATTCCACTTATCTTTTGTGCACTTCTTATGTTTAACTCTTTCGATCCCAGGGGGTTTGTCACCAGAGGCCAAAGGGGTAGTAAAGAGAGGCATAAAATCAGCACATCTTGTGTTCATTGGGCTTTTTAGGTAGGAACTAATGAATGTATGCTATGTTCCTTGAGACTGAAAATGTTAACAGGCCAGAATATGAATATGGTAACTAAAACTAGCATTTATGGGGGTTTCCTTATGACCCCAAAGGCTTTTTTAAAGCCAAGTTGATGTCAAATTTTTCTGTAAGCCTCAATGATTAAGGTCACAACATGAAGCACCCGATATATTTTGTGGCAAGCACTTCATAAGTCTACTAATTAGGGGTTTCCTTTAAAGTCGCAGCTTATTTGCCTGGGAGGCAAAGAACCAACAGCCTGCATACAAAAAAACCAGATCTTTTAAACAGGTGCACATGCAACAAGTTCTAAAACAAGACCAAAATCTACAAGTGGACAAACAACTAGAATTGTATGCCGGAGTTTACAAAAAAAAAAAGCAAATTCAAGAACCTAGTTATCTGGAAACATCGAACTTACCTGCACATTAGGATCTGCCACCTGAACACTGAAATCAAGCACAGTTGCTCCAATCACCACCTGGAAGGCAAATGTTCAGATGCATACAGTTTGCTTACCTATTTATCATTACTGATTACTAATTCCCTGTGTGGGTTCAGGGGCCCTATTATAGGGAAAACAAGAATAGACCCACTGCCTACACAAAGCATGTCGTAAGAGCCGACTCATAGGGCGCTTCCTTTGAAGTCGGAGTGCACCTACCTGACAGGCAAGGAACCAGCAGTCTGCATACAAATGAGTCGGATCTGTAAAATGGATGCACACGCAACTTTCAGATTCTGGAATAGGACTGCAGTCCAAAAGTGGATGAACAACCAGAACTTTCTGCCAGAGTTTACAGCTGGTGAACACGAAGAAGAAGAAGAGATTACTAATTACTGATTTTCCAGTGTGGGTTCCAATGCTTCCACTTCTTCGCGTTCACCGGCTGTAAATTCCAGAAGAAAGTTCTGGCTGTTCATCCACCTCTGGACTTTAGTCTTGTTTCAGAACCTAAGTGTTGTTCAGGAGCCATGTTAGTGCAGCCGATAGGAGACTCCCTTTCAAATCCAGCTGAGACTCTGCAGCCCACGGCCGGTGTTTGAAACCAGGCAGTTCCCAGGGTTCACCCAGCCTCTAGGAAATGGGTACCAGTGTTAACACTCTGGGGTACATGGCGACACATGCGGACAGTTTCTTATCAGCTGTCTGTACTGGTGGCAGAGCACTTACGGTTTATAATGGCGTGCAATGATGCTGGTTCACATCTCCCAACTTTACCTTTTACCTAAGTGTTATGTGCACATCCATTTTAGAGATCTGACTTATGTGTGGGCAGATTGTTGGTTCCCTACCTCTCAGGCAGAAGCATGCCGACTTCGAAGGAAGCTCCCAGTTAGTCAACTCTCACGACAACTTTAATGAGGAGATAATGGGCTTTTTCTCGTTTTTTTCCCCACAATGGGGCCCCAAAACGGGCATATTTTTAGAGAGAATAAAGAATACACTCACTGCTCCTTAACAAGCCCGTTGTAAGAGTCGACTGAGGATTTTTCTGAAACTGTATGCGTTGAGACACAATAACCATCCATATGAAGGGTGAACGAAGCAGAAGAAAAGAAGAGGAAATGTATTTATCAATAACAAACAATATAACACAAAAGAAACTGTAAATTACAGTCAATAATGAAAATGCCACAAACTAAATGTTCAAACAAGGTCAGAAAGAAACTGGCTCTTGCAATGCAGAGATTACACCAGATTAAGAGCTTTGATACTATACCAGCAACAACAACAACAGCAACAACAAAACGAAAGTGAAAAGATTTTAAAATTATTATATAACAATTAAATTAAATCATTAGGCAAGACAAACACACTCAAAAAATGTAATGCATTAATAGTCAATATCATTGATAGAAGAAATCAATTGGATTAAACAAATACTAAACATCACAGATGAAAAGTGAAGACAACTGAATTCAATTTTAAACTTCACTGAAATGAACTGAATTCAAATACTGAAAAATCGTATACACAAAATAAAATGGAAAAAAAAAGGAAGTCAGTTGAATTAAACACAAAACTTAATAGAAAAGAACTGAATTCCAATTAACTTCTTCTTCTGCCTTTCTATCCCCCAGTGGAGCATATGCCCTCAACCAACTCACGCCAAGTCGTTCTATCCTTCACTATTACATGGAGCTCTCCCCATCTTTCTAACTTCATTCTCCAGCTCTCTTCTCCATGTGTTTTTTGGCCTTTCTTTACTCCTATGCCTCTGTTGGTTCCAATGCAAAGACATTCTAGTTATGCTGTTCTCCCGTTTTCTCAATGTGTGTCCTATCCAACGCCAGCGTCTTTTCCTCACTTCTTGGTCCACCGGAGCTTGCTTAGTTCTCTCCCAAAGTTCTACATTAGTTATTCTATCATACAATTTAATTCCCTCTATTTTGGGCAGCACCAGTTAATGAATGTCTGTAATTTATTAGTAATTGCCTTGGTTGTTCTCCATGTTTCCGTCCCATACAATAGTACTGATTTGACATTAGAATTAAAAATTTTTAAGTTAGCATTTCTTTTTATTTCTTTTGACCTCCACAAATTCCCTAGTGCCATGAAAGCCCCTCTTGCCTTTTGTATTCTTATTTTAATATCTCTATCAGTTCCCCCCATCTCTATCTGCATTACTGCCCAAAAAGATGTACAACTCCACTTCTTGGAGTGGGGTAATTTTATTAACTACAAAACTGAAAACAAGAACCAGCACCTACAGGCCTACCAGATAACTGATCCTTCTCCAATGTTTTCTTGTGATCCAGTGATGAAGATGGTACTGTTTTTTTATGATCTACTGGCAAAGATGATGTTGCTGGCTTTAGTGGTTGGGACTGCAATGTTGCAGCTGAAGGAGGCACTGGAATATTCTCAGGATCCTGGGATCTTATTTGTGCAAGACAACTGGCAACCCCTCCAGCCACAGACGCATTGTTTTCTACCAGCGCAATGTCTACTGATGAGTCAAGAAGTGCAGAATATTTGTTTAACAATTTTGTTTGGTTGTTGAAGTTTGTTGCATTTCCTCTTTAGGATGTAGCCTAGCAAATCAACCCTAGAATTTATTGCCCGTTTGTGGTTTTAATATAAAGTTAGTTGTATATCATTTTGAAGGACGTCAGTTTGCCGTTTGTAGTTTTAATATAAAGTTAGTTGTATATCATTTTGAAGGACGTCAGTTTGCCGTTTGTAGTTTTAATATAAAGTTACTTGTAAATCCTTTTCAATTATCTATTCTCTTATATGGATTTTACAGTTGGACTCTCGCTGTGGAAATGGAAAGGAGGATTCAAGTTTCCAAGTGTAAATGCTATTGACGAATTTTACGAATTAGTTATTTAGAACACAAAACTAACAAATGTGTCTAGCTACAGTGACCTGATTACGAGACGTATAGTTAACGCTTTTGGCTGTGTTTAAGCCTGCGTAGTATTTTTAAGGTCAGGATCTGAATATATTGACTAAAAATAGTATTTGGGTGGGGTCCTACAAACCAAAATTAATAATCCTCTGTTGAAAGCAAACTTTGGTGTTTCAAGGACTGTGAAACACACTCACTAACTTCTAGATTATTGAGAAAAACTGCTTGAGACCCGAGTTCGACTACCGGTAAGGTGATGGAGTTTTATGTTGTTGGCAAAATTTTAAATGCTAACCAATAGAGTTTGTTGTGACAGTATTAGCCATGTGGCCCTAAATCTTTAAGTTCATGATCCCTGTCTACACCACCCTAAAAAGTGGTATATACAGACAGTAGTGACAGTTTTTGTGTGTATGACAGTTTGACTAAAATATGCAAAGGATATTGGCAGTGAGTGAGTCTCCTTTCGTTATCTTGTTGACCAGGCTCAGGATGTATGGCGTCACCTCTTTTCCTGTTATGTTATTCTTTCTGCCGAAAATAAAACACTCTGTTATGATTGAAATCACGAATACTTCTTTCTTCTTCTTCTTCTTCATCGGCTGAAAACTGTCGCAGAAAGTACTGTTTATTCATCTACTTCTGGATTTTACTTGTTCCAGCATTTGAATTTTGTGCGCATATGTTTTACAGATATAGCTTACCTGTATGCACACTGTTGGTTCCTGGCCACTCCGGCAGATTTACTCTGCCTTCGAAGAAAAATGCCCCATTAGGCACCTTTTATGATATGCCAGTTAAGGGACAGTGGGTTTATTCTACTTCCCCCAAAAATGGGACCCCGGAACACACAAGGAAATGCAAATACAACCTAACTAACTCTCTTAGTCCAAGGCAGATATTTTGATTTGATTTGATTTGATTCAAGAACCGACATCATAGCACTCAGGGCATTCCCATAAGCGCCCCGTCCCCATCTTCAGCAGCCAGCTGAAGTTCCAATACTAATGGTGCCAGTAGCATTCTGATTAAATGTCCGTCTTGCCTTTCCTCTGAGCCTTGAGCATCTGCCAGAACCTCTCGTCACTCCCCCCTACAGCAATCTCCCCAGACTGTGGTGATCCTTCTGCTTCTCCAAACTGTACACGCTCTCCCACAAGGCACTAACCAAGTCTGCCTTATCATGTATCAGTATTCCACCAAGTTGTGCAGAGCCAGCGAGTCTGTCCGCCTGTTCATTTACCAACACACCGGCATACCCAGTAAAAAAATCTAGACAATACTTCTCACCCGTGTCCTTCGCAGCGAAGCATGCCACTCTGCACGAAGCATGCTTGTTCTGATCTTCCTCAGCATACTTTTTGAGTCAGTTAGAATCACGATGTGTGTGTCATGTTGTCTAGCCAGCGGCCCAAAAAAAAGTGACATTCCGTTTCTGGGGACATCTAATTTCAAGTTTGCTCACTAGATAGTTGCAGTTTCCTGCCGACGAGTTCTATCTAGCTGGAAAGTGAACCACCGCAATCAAAATATTGCGAGCACAGCATGTCAGGTGAAGCTGCGAATTTTACTCCAACTTAGCATAACAAAAATATAAGCTACTCCCACACACACACAAAACAAAACAATGTAATCTTCATTGGAAACATGCACAAAATTGCAGTCCTTGACGAAGAGAATATATTCCAGAAGAAAAATCACAGGCAAGGCGGCGAACAGTAACACAGCTGCTCCTCGTCATCTTCAAAACAAAAATCAGAAAAAATGAATTGAAGCGAACATTAGGATAATATTCAGATAGATAAGGAATAAGCAGATATGAAAATTATGTCATGTAAACAGTAATCAGTTAAGCACCAGCAATGAAATCAAGGTCAAAATGTTGAGAGCCTGTATCGTCCCTTTAGCAAGATATAGATGTGAGCCATGGACTATCTTGCAGTCATTATGGAAGAAAATGGTGCTTTTAAACAAATGTGTGAAGTGAAAAAATATTGGGAAGACATAGATTAGCTGTATGTGACAGCAAAAGATATGATGGCTTGGTATGAGTTGGTTGTAGACCTATGCTCAATTGGGGAATAACAGACAGAAATAGAAAGAGAAACTAACTCTTAACTGTATTATCTGTCATGTGGACGAAAACTGAACAGACAGATCAAACCTGGCTGACTCTACAGCTCTATCAATAGCATCCTGAATCACTTCTCCATTAGCTGCAAACTCATCAGGTATGGGCACAGCTATTAACATGCCACTGCTTAAACCAGTCCTTCGATGAATATCTGTTTAATATAATTGTCACAGTTTAAGTATGTTTGGAAACATATGCACATTTATTTGAATTTCAATATTCTGCATGATGCTACATACATAATGATTTTAATTTAAAGATACAGGAAAATTCTGCAAGCAAAATTATTACAATTTCAATACACAGGATGATGCTGTATACATAATGATTTCTTCTTCTTTCATTCGCATAAATAATGATTTAAATTTAAAGATATAGGACGACTATTAGAATTTCAACCGATTGCACCAAGATGGTGATGAATCTCTTCTCGACAATCAATATGTGTATCAAAATATCAAATCATCATTGCTTTTCGTTGAAAACTTAGTATACCTACAAATATTGATGTGTCAATGTCGCCTGTGATGCTGTAGGACAGTGTAGGCAAGTGTACACGCAGGTCAGGGTGGATGTTCAGTCGGCTTAGTTTATCACACAGTAAGCGACACTGCTGTATGGGGTGGGCAATGATGACACATGTCTCGCTAGCACCAAAAACACAGGTTTCGATAAAGTGGATCAGATCACTTCCTTCTATCTGACTCAGAGCCAAAGTGACAGAACAGAGATCAGCTGGCCACAAAGACGTAGCACTGCCATACTCTGATAAGATGTCTAATGATGCCTGTTCCAACAAGCGGAAGCAGTTCATAGACAGCAGAACCTTTGACATTTATTGATATCTGTCCGGTTATACAGACATACAATCACAATAGAGGGAATTCAGTTGGTCATCTCTGCTCAGCCTACATCCGCAGAAGCCGTAATGTCGCTCTAATAGAAAATGCAACACAAGATATTACACACAGAGAAGTGGCCAGAGGTGTTACTAAAAGTTTCAGGGAAGATAAAGCAGTGGAGACTTCTGGTCTAAAATGGAGGATTATGCATGGCAGAATGATTTGCTTCAAAGTAATTTTTGTTTCCGGCAGCCATCTGCTAATGCAGTTTCCACATATTGGCGGTCGTCTACGGTTTTGCTGCTGCCTGAGTTTAATGCTTGATGTAGTCCTGTGAGCTGTATGTTTAATGTGGAATACCTTTCATTTGTGCAGCGGCTGTGTCGCAGTATTCAATATGGCCGGCGGCCGGTTTACACATAAGCTGGTGGAAAAACTTTTGTAATAATTCTAAGTGTGTATAGCCAACTTATCATGTCTGACTACCTCCATGAAGGAACAACTGCATTTCTGGTGGCAACTGTTGGCTTTGGCATCTCTAGCAACTGTAATATACATTTACTGCATGAGCATATTTCTGGACTGTTCCAGGATTAATTGTTTCTTCACCAGTTTTTCAAGTAGGACATTGAGGGACATTTCATTTACTACCAGCAGCCATCCCCATGGGGAATGCAATTTTTCGTTATTTGAAGCCCAACCCTGGCTTTTACCGGGGGTCCTGGATATAGCCGAGCCATAAATACGGCCTAATGGTGGAAAGGTGTTTCTGGACCTCTCCCCAGGTGATCCTCATCCGCATGGTGGGACTCAGTGTCACCAGGTGTTTATCTCTTGTGTGATGTCCTGGTGGGGTACAGAGAGAGAGAGAGAGAGACAGAGAGAGAGAGACAGAGAGAGAGAGAGAAAGAGAGAGACAGAGACAGAGACAGAGAGAGACATTTCATTTGATTTTTACTGGCACAGGAACTTTTGGTTGGGGCCAATTCCCTGTAAATGTCACTTTATTTACTTGTCTATAATGACCTGTTTACGAGATATATAGTTAATGCTAATGGCTGTGTTCACGCCTGCAGAAATATTTTTGAGGTCAGGATGTGAATATATTACCTAAAAATATCATTTAAAGAGGGTTTTCCAAATGTGTTTTTTTCAAGGTGTCATATTTTTAAATAAGTCTCAATGGTAGAGTTAATGTAATGAGACACTGATACATATATTTTTAGTCCCTAGGGAACATATTCCATTTATCATTTTATCACTCTATTCATGTTTATTGACTAATTCCTTTATATATCTTTAGATAATTTTAACACTCTGTTTCATTTAGTGGTGCTAAGTTATCTATGAACTCTTTCAGTCGCAAGAAACACATCATAGGTTCATAGGTTCCTACCTAAATGCCCAATCAACGCAAGATGCACTGATTATACATCTTTCTTTACCACCCCTTGGGCCTCTGATGCTAAACCCCCTGGGACTGAAAGAGTTGATAGCAGCATACAGGTATTCTTAGTTGAAACGTTAAAATAGTACACAAAAATTATTTTAAAACATGAATGTGCAAACATTCATGTTAACACATAGCCAAATTATAATTTACATTTAATATGATATATTGATACCTTTTTTAACACACACTGAACATCAGTGGGAATAAGATGGACAAAGTAAAAAACAGTTTCTAAGAAATAATACTCTCTATGAGCAGTCCATCTCAATGTATAAAATGTTATCCACATGAGGAAAGTTGTGAAAAGGGGGAGATTGACTGACAGTGTTAAAGACAGGGTGTTGACAGAGGTTGATACACATCATGATTGTAACTGACTCAGAAAGCATGCTGAGGAAGATCAGGACAGGCATGCTTTGTGCAGAGTGGCATGCTTCGCTGCGGAGGACACGGGTGAGGAGTAATTTCTGGATTTTTTTACCGAGGCAGCCGGTATGTTAGGAAATGAACAGGCAGACAGACTGGCTGGCTCTGCACAACTTGGTGGAATAATGATACATGTTAGTGCCTTGTGGGAGAGTGTGTACAGTTCGGAGGAGCAGATGGATCACCACAGTGTGGTGAGATTGATGCAAGGGGGGGGGGGGGGGGGGGGGGGGTGTGTCGAGAAGTTCTGACAGATGCTTGAGGCTCAGAGGAAAGGAAAGGCAAGGCGGACGTTTAGTCAGAATGCTACTGGCACCATTAGTATCGGAACTCTTCGCTGGCTGCTGAAGATGGGAACAGAGCGCTTATAGGAATGCCAGAGTGCTGTGATGTCGGTTCTTGAATCAAATTAAATCAAATCAGAGGAAGAAATAATACTATGAGCCAGTTCCCCTCGACGTAAAGATGCCCAACACTTCTGATTTTAGCACATCATCAATTAGTCACTTTTTACAACTTGCTAATTAAGTGTCTTTTTTATTCAAAATTAGGTGTATTTTTTTTTTGTTCAAAATTATTACAGTGAAACGCTGCTTTGTTTTTTTGTTTTTTAATTATTTTTTTCACTAACCGACAATATGCTACCAGAAAACAATTGCCTGAGGAAAATGTTGAACACAAAATGTGATAAATTCAAGAGGGGTGAAGAAATCAGAGACATGTCTGGGCAACCACAACATAAGACAAAGAAGAAGGCGTTATTTTTGACACATCATGAGAAGAAATTAGCAGAGAAATCACCAAACAGGCACTAAAATGGGAAATGAAAGGACTGACGAAGCAAGGACATACAAAAGAAACCCTAAAACAAATGTTGATGAGAGAAACAAAAGTTGCTGGACTGGATCCCATTCATGATATCAAAAGCCCTGTGTGGGTTCCGGGGCCCCAATATAGGGAAAACAAGAATAGACCCATTGCCTCCCCAAAAAGCATGTTGTAAGAGTCGACTAACTGGGGGCTTCCTTCAAAGTCGGAGTGCATCTGCCTGAGAGGCAAGGAACCAGCAATCTGCATACAAATAAGTCAGATCTGTAAAACAGATGCACGCGCAAAACTCAGGTCCGAGAACAAAGCCAAAGTCCAGAAATGGATGAACAACCAGGTCTTTCCACTGGAGTTTATAGCCGGTGAATGCAAACAAACAACAACATGACATCAAAAGGATTGCACCGGATAGAATGGATGGAGGTATACACTGAGAGCCCTATGTGACATATAATTCTACAACAGAACAGTTGAGTTGAGTCAAGAACTGACATCACAGCACTCGGAGCATTCCCATGAGTGTTCCATCCTCATCTTCAGCAGCCAGCGCAGAGTTCCAATACTGATGGTACCAGTCACAATCTAGTTATATGTCCGTCTTGTCTCTCCTCTGAGTATAGTGAGCCAGCCAGACCCTCTGGTTACACTCAGGTACTTCATTCTCTCCAGACCATAATAATCTTGTTTCTCTACTGATTCCGTTGCTTGTTCCCAAAGGGGCTTGACCACATCTGCCTTGTCATGTATCAATTTACCACCCAGTGGTGAATATCCGGCTAATCTGTCTGCCTGTTCACTACCCACTTCGCCGGCATGGTCTGGAGAAAATACAACAGGACAATGATGATGCTACCAGTGTCAAACTGCCAAAGAGACCTAGATATTCAACGCTTAACTATTTATGGAGGGGAAAAGAACATTACCAATCATTTTGGCAGTTTCATGAAGTGTGGATACATTGTAAGGTGCATAATATCCACTGTCCTTGGTAAAGAATGCTGGAAAATTCTTCCTCTCTCCAAACGTAGCAACGCAAACACCCTGGGTTTCCTAGTCAAATAAACACACAAACATACATAACATGAATAAGTAAAGGTTACGTTAAGCCAGATATTACTAAAGGGTCTTCTCGAATTTATATTTTCCAACATTATTTCCTTCAAAAGAGTTATAAACATGGCACATAAAACAAAACAAATGCAAACTAGGTACATATAATTATTGTACATATTGTGAAAAATATAAAAATGTGCTCTAATGCAAAAGTTTTTAGAACTGTTATACCATACAAACGTAGTTTATTTATTTACTTTAAAAAAATTTTTTTTTTTTTAGTAATAAGTGTTAATTGTCATAAGCTGCATGGGTCATAAATTAAGGAGAAAGTGTATCTGGACAGAGATATGAGGCAATAGTCCAAGAATTCAATGGAAAGTGAATGCAGAAATTTGACAGATCCTTTTTATGGGTGATATGGTCAAGATCACGTTAGACACCTTTACTTCCCACAAAGCCACCTCATACACGCTTGAGGCTGGGTCAACATGACAGTCTCAGTCAATTTTGAAGAAAGAATCGGCCACGATAAGGATTTGGACCCAAGACCTTCGAGCTGGCAAGTGAGTGTCTGACAACCGGCAAACTTAACAGGAAAAGGGCTGATGGAGTAGAAAGAGATAAACAGCTTAACCGCTTGACCATATGGCATGGGTGACAAGAACACAGACCTAATCTGTGATTCTGGTGATTGGATGAGATGGTGAAACATGATGTGTTGTGGCTAACATCACGCTGGTTGTCTTTACCTCCCAAGATGTTACCTGGTACCTTTTCAGACTGAGTCAACCTGGAGGCGAGGTAAATTAACCCCCCCCCCCCCCCCTCCCACCCCCAAAGACTGCCTCAATAAAGATTTGAACGCTTGACCTTTGGGTCGACAGGTGCGGTCTAACCACTATGCTGTCACAGCTACCCATAAATCATGTCTGGAACAATTTGCAGCTCTTAAGAACTCTCTCACCTCAGCTGACAAACGTTTATTGTATGAAATATTCTTCCTTATGTGAAATGCTTTTGCTTGGACTGTTCTACAATGTTTTTTTTTCGGTTTTTTTTTTAAGGAAACAGAAAATCAAATGGTTTTGTCATCTTGTTAGAATGCAATCATGACAACTACCATAACAGGTGCTACAAATGAAAAGATCTGAAGTGATCGCAAGTGTCCACCCTAGAAGAATATGGAATGATGACATTAAAGGCATTCTACATTGACACAGAATGACAATAGCCATTGCTACCCATCAAGCAATGGATCACACAACTTTCTCATTCTTTGTTCACCGGCTGTAAGCTCCGATGGAAAGCCCTGGTTTTTTGTCCATTTGGACTTTGGCTTTTTGCCAGGGCCTGAGTATTGCATGTACATTCATTTTATTGGCTTATGTGTGTGGGCAGTTGGTTGTTCCTTACGGCTTGAGCAGATGCACTCCCACTTCAAAGGAAGCCCCAATTAATCGACTTCTATGACATGTTCATTGGGTAGGCAATGGGTCTATTCTTGTTTATCCCATAGTGAGGACCTGCAACCCACATGGGGAGATCATACAACTGTTCCTCCTTATGGTACTTAACAGCAGAAGTCAAAATTGATGATGATGATGATTTTACAATTGATTTCTTCAGTACATCTCCCAAATGCTGTTACCAAAATATATTATTATAGAACCAGTAACAATGTCAAACTAGTGAGTCATACTGGGTACTCTCAAGGAGGCAGGATGCGTTTTTGATTCAGGAGACAAATGGTCAATCGGCAACACTCAAAAGACTACAAGAACTTCAAGTCAAAAGAGATGTAACCAAACATGAACACTATACAGGTGGCCAAAGAAGAAAGTAAACCAACAGAGAACTGGTGTCATCAGTCACCACACACCGGGGGAGATACTGAAGATGGGATCCGAGTGCTTATGGACTTGTCCCAAGTGCAAGAGGATAATCTGTCGATTAATTAACTAAACTAATTAACTAACCAGGTATTCTAATGTCTTAGGAATGTCTAGAATTGACTTGACTCCTGAGGATACGACAGCTACAGGCGTACGACCCAACTCTGTGAGATCAGCACTAACATCAAAACCTGTGGATGATGCAAAGAATTTTGCTGTATTAAAGGAGTTATTTAGTATTTACTCATACTGTTTAAAAAAAATTACTTTGCTCATAAAAACGAGCAAACAAAATTAATATGAATTATTTTAGTGATTTGACGGTTACATATCAGAGTGGTCATCAAGTTTGCCTGTCTGTTTAGTGGTCATAGTGACCATAGCTTTTAACCCCCTGTATTTTTATAAAAACTTATACTATGATTCCAAATTTTTTCAGCTTCTTCTTCGTCTTCCTCTAGTTCAGTGGCTCTCAACCTTCCTAATGCCGTGACCCTTTAATACGGTTTCTTCATGTTGTGGCGACTCCCAAAACAATTATTTTCCTTCATAACTTCAATGAATATGTGTTTTCCGATGGTCTGGGGGGACCCCTGTGAAAGGAAGATTTATAAGAATGTGTTTCTTTTAAATTGTTGTGTGGGTTCCGGGGTCCCATTGTAGGGAAAACAAAAATAGATGTTTCAGACAGATTCTTGGCATATCATACACTGACCACATTACAAACGAAGTGAAGAGGCAAAAAATGCAATGGTATGGACATGTAATAAGATCTAACGGCCTCTCAAAAACAATACTGCAGTGCTCAGTAGAGGGAAAGAGGAGAAGAGGCAGACCAAGAATGACCTGGTTACAGAACCTGACTGACTGGACAGGTCTCAGGCATGCAACCATGAAGTCCATCCCAACTGACCGCCCAAGATGGAGAGAGCTGATCAGACAGACAACAGAAACTGGTAACTCAACGACATGTAGTGTTACGGGATGTCACGTGAAAGCAAACAACAACTTACTTGTTTCTGCTCCTCGATGAACACCTCCAATTCCACCTGTAGCAAAAATAGGAATACCTGCCATGTGGGCAGCTATCATTGTGGCAGAGACTGTAGTGCCTCCACTGAGACCCTTGGGAAGGGAAAGGTTTAGGAGAAGCAATAATTTTTAATTGTTAAACTTAGAAAGCCTTTTCCTAGACCTGTAACTCTAACCAATTTGCTGCTGTTGTTAGTTTGGTGAAAAAAACACATTCAACCTTGCTGAAAACAGCTTTGGTTATAATTGGTTTGGTTTTATGTTTAATGGCTGAAATTGTTTGCTTAAATTGTTTACAAAATATCAGAAAAGGCTACATGTTACTTTTTGATGTTGTTTATATATAATGGAAGGCATAGCAAATGCCTAAGCATATTACATATCCCTAAACTTAGGACAGACCTATACAATACAAGTTTAGCGTACTCTGTAGCTAAATTGTGGCACTATCTTCCATAACAAGTCCAAAATACCACAAGTCCCTATGCATACAATTGGAAACTGTTTGAATATTATCTGAGCACAGACTACATGCTCCCATAGAAGATGTAAAATATTTTAGAAATAGCGCCCATTTTCCCAAGATTTATTACAACTACTAAGGTTTGCTTTTATTGAATATTTTGATGCTACTGATAATGTTTACTGTTACTTGATGTATGAATGAAATGATGTATGGATGGAGGGAGACTAGAAGGGTAGAATGGTAGATAGGCCTGCGTGCCCAATTCTTAATCCTTTGAAAACATAGTTTGTTTGTTTGTTTTGTTTGCTGTGTCTCAGACGGATGCACGCCAGACTCTAAGGAAGAACCATGAATTAGTCGACTTTTACAACATGCTTGTTAGTGGGGCAGTGGGCCTATTCTGTGTGGCCTCCACAATGGGAACCCTAAACCCACATGTGGAAGGTGGTTCTAATCCTCAGATTCAAAACCCACCTGTTCTATACTATGATAAAAAATGGTAAATAAAGACAGTAAAGACAGTTACACATTCAAAAACTAGTAACAATTCAGAACACTCACATGGCTCAAAACAAATGGCAAGTCTCTCCGTGACACTTTGAAAAGATTGCTGCTTTTCTCTGCCAGCCATGCAATTACACTGTCTTCCAGACCTGAAAATATAAAGATTCTGTAATAAATCTTAGTTGGGAGAGTCTGCATCTTTACTATCCTATATTATCACCAATAGGTTTATCACTTGCATTATCAGTCATAATATCAAGACTATTTTCACTATCTGGCAGAGATTCATCAACGACAGAGCAGAATGTACAGCTCTAAACCTTTTCCCTTATAATTTTATATAGAAAAATCATATAAGAATTGTATCACACCTAAATAATTTAAAACAAATGAGAAAGTTATCCAAACACCACAACGAACTTCTTCCAAGATGAAAGGACTCCATTTTGCTAATTCTAGTTTTTCAAAACATGTTCATACAAATTTGTTTTCCCAGCAAACAAAACAATGTTAGAGTGTCTCTATGAAGTGCCACTTTAATGGTGAATAGTTTAAATGGGATTGATTCAAAAGCCACTTAAGTAACAACCAGTCTGTAAAGAGTTAACAGTTTTTCCTTTTTACCTACCTATATAAATTTTTCCTTTCAAAACTGCAATAGTGGCTGGAACTGCTCCATTCTGTCGTACCTTTTTCTCTACACTCAAAGCAGTACTGCAATTTGTGACAAAAGGAAGATTTAAAAAAAAAAGATTGATACGTCTTGTATTATGTATGTAGAATATTTGAGGAGACAGTGATAAAACAAATCATCAGCTTCCTCAAGGGTATTGGGTTAGAGTCAGCTGGCACTTAAAAATATGCACTACCCACAGAGGTAACTTTACCAGGCTAGACTTGTTTTTATCTGATCATCACAAATGACATCTGGATAAAGATTTGACATTACAGCATTCAGGACAAGCCCATTAACAGCTCCGTTTCCTTTCTCAACAGCCAACGATAAGTCTCCATACTGATGCTACCTGTTGTCATCTGGTTAACTACTCATCCCCCCCTCCCCCCCCCCCCCCACCCAACAACAATTCTTGAGTGTTGCCAACAGCCCAAAGACACTGCCCCGCTGCATCCTTATCCCCACTTATGGGTTTTCATTATCTTTCCTTTTACTTGTCACCTCCTCTCCCACAGGTGATAGATCACCTCTGCCTTGTGCCTTTGCAATACACAATACTTTATCCCTTTACATCCTACCACCACATGCTCGCTTTAAAGCTCCAGAAGTCCAAACTAAATTGGTAGGCGAGGAAACCAAACAGTCCGACCCAATCGCTCTTATGAACTCATCACTAAAGACTGTTGATTCTTACCCCCAAGAATGGATACATGTCTATACTGATGGATCAGCATTTAAAGCTACCATTAAAGCAGGTTACGGAATCTACATAGGTTATCCCGATGGATCTGTTGAAGAGATTTTTGATGCATGCGGGGAATTCTGTTCAAACTATGAAGCTGAAATAATTGCACTGGAAACAGCAGTATACCACCTAAAGACTGTAATGGATGTTTACCCCTCAAAGGTCCAAAATATTGTCATCTTCACAGATTCAATGTCTGCCCTTCAAGCTCTGGAGGGCAATGAACGCTGCAGAACTGACATAGCCAAGATAATCCTGGATGCCGATCAGCTTATTACCTCATACAACATCAGAATAGTGATGCAGTGGATTCCAGGTCACTCCGGCACACCAGGTAATGACAGAGCTGACAGATTGGCAAAGAAAGGAGCAACACAAGAACAACTACCTACAGCGACAACCCTCCAGACAGCAAAAACACTGATAAGAGCTATAAACAAAGAGACTTGGTTGAACAGATGGGCCATGGGAGACACTGGAAGAGAGGTTTATAGACATATGTCTGGCCCTGATCCTAATGACAGCATTAACCATCTAACAAGAAGGGACCAGGCCACCATCTTCAGACTTAGAACGCAACATACTCCACTCAATGGACACCTAAACAGAATACAGCCACAACACTCCCCAGAGTGCCAGCTATGTAACTACCCCTACGAAACTGTTGAACACCATCTCTTTGAGTGCCCAAAACTCAGTGAGACAAGAAGAACGCTACTCCCTCCGAGACCAGACAAGTGGAACACCTTGTACGGAGGAAAAGAACAGCTTGTGAAAACATGCAAATTCCACTACATGGCATTGGGCCAAAGGGCGAAAGCTCATGCGCCGCTGGATCGATAACAACAACAACAACAACAATCCCTGTATCACCCCTCTGTATCACTTTACATCCCACTTTATTACTATGTATTACCCCTCTTTATCACTTTACATCCCACTTTATTACTCTGTTTCACCCATCTGTATCACTTTACATCCAACTTTATTACTATGTTTCGCCACTCTTTATCACTATCTATCCCAATTTATTATTCTGTATCACCCTTCTGTATCACTTTACATCCCACTTTATTACTCTGTATCACCCCTCTTTATCACTTTACATTCCACTGTATTACTCTGTATCACCCCTCTTTATCACTTTACATCCCACTTTATTACTCTGTATCACCCCTCTTTATCACTTTACATCCGACTTTACTAGTCTGTATCACCCCTCTTTATCACTTTACATCCCACTTTATTACTCGGTATCACCCCACTTTATCACTTTACATCCCACTGTATTACTCTGTATCACCCCTCTTTATCACTTTACATTCCACTTTATTACTCTGTATCACCCCTCTTTATCACTTTACATCCCACTGTATTACTTTGTATCACCCCTCTTTATCACTTTACATTCCACTTTATTACTCTGTATCACCCCTCTTTATCACTTTACATCCCACTGTATTACTCTGTATCACCCCTCTTTATCACTTTACATCCCACTGTATTACTCTGTATCACCCCTCTTTATCATTTTACATCCCAGTTTATTACTCTGTATCACCCCTCTTTATCAATTAGCATCCAAAGGTAGTCAATGATTAATGATTATAAGTTCAAAGATGGCTAATGAGCCCAATTTCAGCCCCAAAAGTTCTCGAGCAGAGTAGACAACAGATGGAAGTGGCAGAAGAGGTGGATGATGAGAAACTGGATGAAAGTGCAGTGACTTGGATCTAAGTGAGAAAGAGTTTCACAATGTCTCAAGCTCACTCTTTCACCTATGCCCATCTAGATCCAGTGACAGGCCAATGTTAAGACAACTGGAAATTTGAAAATAGACTCAGGTGCAGTGGATGACCAAGAGTCCTGAGTGCACTGTATTGCTTAAAGCTATCCAGAAAGCATGCTGTAATTGACTTTTTGTCAATCGAACAATATATATAGAGTTTCATATGCACAATCCATCTGGGAATCATCGGCGGAGTTACAGAGTTCATGCTTTGTGTGGTGCTCTCGGCAGGCGGCTAGCCATTCTGCAGAGAGAGACTGAGCAATATGGGACCAACGCCGGTGCAATTACATCGACCCTCTCAACTTTAACCTTTAACTTTATCTGAGCAATCCACAAACTCGCCCTTACATGCAGGGGAACTATGCCCCAAATGACTCACTGGTTAAATAAGGTCGCCTACCCCCTGCGGGCTTAGCAGGCTCATCAAAGCTTTTTCCTGAGGGAGGTTGGGAGATGATGGTTGCTGTCACATGCTGACAGCTACTGTGCCAAATGAGACGGCTGAATGAGAGACCAAGTTTACTGGTGGTGACACTACCCTGAAAAATGTACTGTGCAAGGATGGATTGTGTTACTTCCAAATAGCTCTCTGCGCTTGTTGGAGAGGGAAAGGAAAACCCAGCGACACAATCTTTGTTCAGAAGTGACAATAGGGTTAAAATTCACCACATTCTCATTACTTTAAAAAATGCAAACCTTTTTTCAGGGTTTGGACAAAGTAAATTCTAATATATTGGACTTTGCAGTTAAAGTTTCTAGCGAAATAACAACCAACCTGTTAGCTAGGTCTTTTCCTCTTTTTAGTGTTCACCGGCTGTAAACTCCAGTGTGCGTCTATAAATGAGTTTGTTATGTAGGAGTGTGCATTGGTCTGTGGATCAGAAGGTCGTGGGGTCAGGCCCTTGGCTCCCAGGTTGACCCAGCCTTGAATGGGTACCAGGTACAATCCTGGAAAGTAAAGGCAGCCATGGTGATGTTGACCACATCAGCCATTAAGTGCTGATTGGTCTATAAAATGTAGGTCTAGCCCTATATGCCCAATAGGCCTGAAGACGTAGAAAAGTTACCTTTACTTTACCATATGTATGTATGTGGTTTTTTGTATGCATGTGTATGTATGATTGTATGAATGTGTTTGTATATATAATTGTGCAAATGTATGAGTGGATTTTTTTATGGATGTATAAGTGTGAGTGCATGCATGAGCTTAAGTATGTATGCATGAGTGCGTATGCATGTGTATTATGGTCTATATTATGTGGCTGTAAGATAGTGCATAGATACATGAATGTATAAGTGCGTATGCATGAGGACTAATAAGTGTGCATATGTATATAGATTGTGAATTGTGGGTGTGTCAATTTGTATGTGTGCGTGTATATGTATGTATATGCGCACGCGTGTGCGTGTGTGTACATGCATGTTTGTTTGTAAATTGGAACGTATGTATTTGTCTTCCACGCTTTTGTATTTTTCGACCATACACTCATAAAATGTATTTTGCTATATGACAGCAAATAAGGCTGAAAGTCTCAAAGGGCCGAATTCAAGACGTGCCCGTATGCCCAATTTGTGACCCTTAATTTTTTTTAAAAAAAATTTTTTTTTTTTTTAGTTTGTTCTAGATGTTAGCATTTTAGCTAAAGTTATGACAGTCACCCAAGCTCACTTGTAGTTGTGAGGATGTGGCATTCCATGTGTGATAATTGTACTTTCCAAAGCAACAACAGCTTTCTTGTAAGTAAGTGCTTCTTGAACCTCTTCTGAAACTTGAATGAGAGCTGCAATCATAAATAATAGTAGGTTTACAACGTAGATCCTCTTTGTAGTTGAAAAATTATTATGCTTTAACAAAATTATTTTCTTTCATTTAAAAATGCTTACATTTAAGTAAAAATATACTCAGATTAATTAATATATGATCACAGGAAACTGTGAAAGACTGTAAGAAAGACCAGAAATGAAAAAACTCAAGAATGAGGTCATAGGAGATAGTCGGCACAGAACCAATTCTAAATTACACACTTCTTCTTCTTTGCGTTCACCGGCTGTAAACTCTGGCGGAAAGTTCTAGTTGTTTGTCCACTTCTGGACGGCAGTCCTGCTCCAGAACCTGAGTGTTGCATGTGCATCCGTTTGACAGATCTTATTTGTATGCAGACTGTTGTTTCTTTGCCTATTAGGCAGATGCACTCCGACTTTAAAGGAAGCTCCCAATTAGTCGACTCTTACGATATGCTTTTGGGTAGGCAGTGGGTCAATCTTGTTTTCCCTATAATTACATACAAAGACAGCAAATCAAATGTTTTGCCCACTTGGATAGAATGCATTCTGATGCTATACCATATACCAAAAGAAGAGAAAAATGTACAGCAAGAGGTAGGGCAAGAATAAGATGGGAAGATAACCACATTAATTCTACAGCATCAAGATGTGTCTATGGTCGAAGCAGCAAGAAAAGCATGAAGCAAGACGCAATATCTTTCTTGACACCTGAAGCGGTAAAAGAGTACGTAAAGAAGGAAAAGAAGAGACAGGAAACTGTCCCATATGGTTTTTTTTTAAACAGTTTTCAAAGGTATCTTCTTCTAAGGTTTCTCTACCTTGACATAGTGAGAGATTGTGTTTCTCAAGGACCCTGAGAGCTATGCCAGTAGTAGCATAGCTACCAGCATGGCTTTCCAAACTGGGCAGGTCAAAGGGTAAGACAACAAGCAAAGAGAGTCAACGTGATTCTCCAGTAGAGTTGAGTTGAGTTAGGTCGAGAATTGACATCACAGCACTCCTCGTCTTCAGCAGCCAGCGCAGAGTTCCAATACTGATGGTACCGGTCACAATCTGGTTAAATGTCCATCTTGCCTTTCCTCTGAGTGTAGTAAGCAGGCCAGACCCTCTGGTTACACCCAGGTGCCTCATTCTCTCCAGGCCATAATAATCTTCTTTCTCATTCCGTTGCTTGTTCCCAAAGGGCCTTGACCCCATCTGCCTTGTCATGTATCAATTCACCACTCAGTGGTGCAGATCCAGCCAATCTGTCTGCCTGTTCATTACCCACAATGCCGGTATAGCCTTGGTGAAAAGATCCAAAGTATGCTCCCCACCCATGACCTTTCCAGTGAAACTAGCCACTCTGGTCAAAGCATCCCTGTCTTCACCTTTTTCAGCATGCTTTCCGAGTCTGATACAATTACATGTGTATTTTTTTGTTCTCTAGCCACCGGAGAGCTGCAGTTACCGCTTCCACCTCCATTCTCATGCTAGATGTTTGGGGGGTCGAAGTGTAGGGCCAACATCTCCAACTTTGTAAAACCTTTTTTCATCACAAAACTTATATCTAAGCCACAAATTTTGATGGATGGATTTTAGTGGACAATGACCTTGGAACATTAAAGGATGAAAACTTGGAGTCACCAAGTGAAAAGAGAAAGCCAATCCCATAGATGAAAGGATGGGGGTAATATCTTACAGCAATTGACCTCCAGTGCTAAGAATACTGAAGAAAAAGATAAGAGTCATAGTAGTAAGTGTGACAGAATTAAAGTAACAGACAAGACACAAGCATGCACATGAAGTTCACAGCTGGTGAAGGCTAAGAAGAAGAAGAAGATTCTAAGTCACAAGTAAATTTTTTAAAACTTACTGCCTCCAATATTAGGTGATCTTGTCACAGAAGACGATAAGGACCTTCTGCTGTTGTTGAAGCAGTTCCATTGGCTGTATATAATTTTCTGAGCTTGACGGAAGAGTTTTACCCACTGGTTTCTGTGTGCACAATGTTTCATGGTTTGGTTTACTGATCTGAAATGAAGTTGTCATTGAGGTGTTACCATGAGATGTTTCATCGTTTGGTTTACTGATCTGAAATGAAGTTGTTATAGAAGTGTTACCATGAGATGTTTCATCGTTTGGTTTACTGATCTGAAATGAAGTTGTTATTGAAGTGTTACCATGAGATGTTTCATCGTTTGGTTTACTGATCTGATATGAAGTTGTCACTGATATGTTCCCAGCAGATGAGTAACATCTTCTGCATAAACCCTCAAATGGGCAGTTGGGACATCATATTGTGATTTACAGCTAGGCTGCAACAACTTTGCTTTTTTACCCAACACGTCAGATTTCAGCAGACTGTTAATTAGTTGAATTTTATGACCTGCTTGTTGGGGGTGGGGGTATGTTTCCCTATCCACTCATTAAATAGAGCCCAGGAAACCCACACGAGAAGAGACAAACATTCACACAAAATTATAACATGTGAAATGAGATGTAAAAGAAATTCATCGGGACCACACACAAAATGTGTCACCAACAAAGGAGGCAGATAAAGACTACAGACTGGAGAATGTAAATTCAACTGGAAGGAACCTGATATGTTTTGTTTCTAGAATCACACATAAAATGGTGGAACATTACATCTGATTTCAGCCTTTAATAACATGCTTGTTAAGGAGCAGTTGGTTTACCCACCCCCCCCCCCCCCCCCACCTTTTTCCCCTAGTTAATCCTGAAAATGACACCTCGGAATTAACACTTAACACTATAAATCCTGATTCCAACCTGAGGGTTAAACAGGATATTTTTGAAAAATACTACTACTGGTGCCTAATGAAAAGGCATGCTGAGAAAGGTGGACATAGGTGTGCTCAGTGCAGAGTGCAAGCTTCGCTTTAGAGGTATAGGCAGTTAGTGTCTTAGATATTTTCTCATGGATATGCCAGTGCGATGGGAAATGATCAGGCAGATAGACTGGCTGGTTTAGCACTACCTAGTGGTGAATTGAAGCATGACAAGCAAGCGAGTGAACAGTGCTGAGGCATAAATAGATCATTACGGAGAACAGTGTTTGAGGAGTGACAACAGAATCTGGCCAATGCTCAACACTCAAAGGAAAGACAAGACAGATACATAATAAGACTGTTACTGCCACCAAAGGAATTGGAATGTTGCACTTGCTACTGAAGATAGGGATTGCGCGCTTATAGGAGTGCCAGAGTGCTGTGCTGTTGATTGTTAATTCAACATTCAAAGCAACGGAGTTGTTCTCACACATTGCCTATTTATTTATTTTGTAATTAAACATGAAACTTCTAGCAAGATACTCATGCAACTCTGAACTATCATTATTTGTTTTATATACACACACACACACAGAATTCAGTTCAGTTACACAATTTCAAGTGTCCATACCCTAAGAAATTGATATGATTTTAATTATTATACTTCCGCCCTGGCACTTGGAATGAAGATATTGGAAAGCTTGTAGTTGCCCCAACAGGCAGATAATTAAAGCATTTACTAGTTTACTGAAGCATGAACAGCTGACCCGCAGCAACCTCAGCGTTTGTGGTTGACACCAGCAGCAGGTGTTTGAATGTCTGAATATAGGGGGGTGAGGTGCAATATGAGCTTCAGCAGTTTAAAAATAAAAGCACGTCTGTTGATGTTTCTGCTGCTTTTGATAAGATGGGTCAAAAATTGACATCAACAGTAGTCACTCCCATACGTGCTCCGTCTTCATCATCAGCAGCCAGTGCAAAGTTTTAATACTGATGGTACCGGTCACAATCGGGTTGATGTCTATCTTGCCCTTCCTCTGAGTGTAGTGAGCCGGCCAGACCCTCTGGTTACACCCAGGTGCCTCATTATGCCCAGCTCAAAATAATAGTTTCTCTACTGATTCCGTTGTTTGTTTCCAAAGGACCTTGATCACATCTGCCTTGTCATGCATCAATTCACCACCCAGTGGTGCATATCTAGCTAATATGTCTGCCTGTTCATTACCCACTACGTCGATATAGCCTGGAGAAAAGATACAAAGTATGCTTACTCCTTGTGACCTTCCCAGCGAATCGTGCCACTTTGCTCGAAGCATTCCGTCTTCACCGTTCTCAGCATGCTTTCAGAGTCTGTTACAATTACGACGTGTGTATGCATCTTGTTCTCTGGCCACCAGAGTGCTGCAGTAACCGCCTCCACCTCCATTCTCATGCTAGACGTTGGGTTGTTATATGCTAGGGTGTCTCTCACTAAAGATTTTCCATTGGCTTTCGCTACGAACCCCCAGGCATTTCTCTTTCATCTAAACATTGGGCCATATGTATAGATAATCAGATCACCAGGGCATGAATTGTCGTGAATCAACTGTTGGACTTTCCACCTCCATAGAAAATTTTAACTCTTAAGTATCTGCATGCCTTCTTTAATAATTTCACAGTTTTTAGCTGATTTTCCTTGATTACTGCAGCGGAACCCTTGGCACACGCAGGCGGCACCACAGTTTAAAAACCGCTGCTCTATGTTGCCAAAAATCCTAGTACGCCTCTGACTATGGGGTAAGCCGTTTTTTTTTTTTTTTGGAAGTTGGAATTGCGATTATCTGATTACCTGATAATCACTAAATCTGTTTGTAACTCTTCTGTACACGCTTTGCCGCTCGTGCTTGTCAAATGACCAACTGTTGACAAAAAAAAAAAAAAAAAATCCTTTAAATCCCTTTACATGTTTTCTAAGGCTGATCTGTTCCATGTGACTTTAACTTCTCTTTTTCAAGACAATTATAAGTCTGTGATTACGAGCCTGTGACCGATAGAGTTAAGATTTCTACCCCCGCATTATGGCGGCCTGAAATATCCGTTCGGGGCTCAGTTTAATAAAAAATGCGGACTTTCTGCCAAGGAACAAATCGCGGCAAAACTAGGATTACTTGACAATTTCAAGAGACGCAACATTGCAGACGATAGTACAGACGATAAAAGCGACTGGTGATAATGTCGAGCGTGTCTGCAGACGATACTAGCAGACGATAAAAGTGACCGTTGACAATTTCGAGACATTACAGACGATGAAAGCGATATGGTGGGTAGACCACGCGCTTCCATGCAGATTAGCAAACTGTTCTTCCGATTGAGGATTTAGCAGCGGTAGATGTCAGACTTTTCGGCATGCGCAAAACGCGATTAAACTCACCGCCGAGCGTATTACCCGCGCCGCTACGTGCGGCGCAGATGGGGGGGGGGCTAAACTAGGTGCCTGGGACTCACGAGCAAAGTAATTGGAGGAAGTTGCAGGAGATGGGGTAGCTGCTGCTCGTGAGTCCCAGGAATACGCTCGGCGGTGAGGCATAGTCACAGAAACAGGTCTGCAAGGAACATATCGTTGAGACCCTGTTAGAGCATTTGTTTCGTTTTTCCGAGCCGATCCTAGATTTGCCGCGATTTGTTCCTCGGCAGAAAGTCCGACAACGTTCACTATTATCGTCGTCTGCTACTATCGTCTGCAGTGTTGCGTCTCTTAGAATTATCAGGTAATCAGAAACAATAAGAAACAGGTCCGCAAGTAACATATCGCTGAGACCCTGTTAGAGCATTTGTTTCGTTATACGGAGCCGGCATATTTTTAATAGAACTGAGCCCCGAAAGGATATTTCAGGCCGCCATAATGCGGGGGTAGAAGTTCGGTGGAGAGCCAAGATTTTTCATGATCCCGCGGTTGATTTTTTTTTTTTGCCTCACCCCATTTTTGGGGCCGATTTTTTTAAAATTTTTACCCCCACTGTAAATAGAGCATTGAACTTGAACTAACTCAATTCAAGTCATTCCATCTCCTGCTGTTTCATTACATTTATTCAACACTCGCTGGTGCTACAGAGCCTGTGTACAGTGCTGGGCTTCTTCGGACTCATCCTTGAGTTATGGGTTACACCTGTGTGCCATGATGTTGAGAACCTCAAAACCATTTATTCAACATTGCTTTCTGCATAGTTGGTACGAGAGAGTTCTTGCCAGACTATCAAAACACAGGTCCTATAATATGTTGCTCTCGAAAGAATTGTACGATTTATTGCAGTAGGTCACTCATTCTGTCATTCATATAGTCTGAAGATTAGCTGTGCCACCTGGCAACTTGAATAAACGGTCCGGTATTGCCAGGCACACTGTTGATGGTATTAACTTCCGGTCTAATATCTGTGCGTGGGTACGGACGGACAACACTTTTGATGTTTATAAAACAAAAATAAATATTTACAGTGACCTTTTCCTGCGCAAATCATATTTGTAGCCTACAGTTTGATCGTGTAATTAATAATAATTACGTCAACAATAAGTGATAATGATATAACATAATTTTTCTGTTTGTTAATTCGAAGACGTGTGGTAGTCCACTGGTAGGTAGCTGCGACAATTTCAAATAAAGGGGAATCAGAATCCGACAGTTTGATTTTTTACCCGGTGAAAGAAAGTGCGATTTTTGCATTTCGAGCCGGTAAACTGAGACCTAGATAAATTGTTAGTGTTTACTGATAGTATTGGTCTTTAAGGGGGATAATACTATTTTTAATTGGTTTTGTTGTTGACATTGTCCGTTACCGTACATATCATATCTCACGTCGTCTACAACTTACTTACTTTGCTTCCGGCTACTAAGTTGAAGAGGTAGCGGTAGCGCATTTTTGAAAAGAAAACCATTGTTTGTTCCTCATTTAATTAATAAATGATTTAAAGTATTTGCTGTTGCGTGTGACATAAATTTGCAGTGCATTAGAATTAAAAAGTTGTGTGTTGTAGTTCAAAGGAATTCATTCAAATCAAATTCAAACGAAATTTGAAATAGGAGCAGCTGAGTGTGTCAGTGTCCTATGACCATGAGTAGACGTGTCAGTGTCACTACATAACTAGTGTGTGACTCAGTGAGAACAAGACCGAAATACAAGAAAGGGAATAACAATAGTGCTTTGTGATTTAGTTCTATTTAACTGTTAATGTTAACTATTTTCTAATGCCTT